GAATACAATCAGTCAACCCATCTTCATTCAATCTTTCTGTCACCGTGACATCTTCAGATATCATCAAATCTGACAGGTGGTGACTGCAGCAAACAGCAAGGATCCAATTTTTCTCTGATACTTGTTGATCTCAGATGGTATTGCTAGGCTTTCTCTTGGCTTGAGTTCAACATTTGCCATTGGGGTATCATGCCTGAGATCTGTTCTATCCACCAGATGGCTGATCTTCTCAGCATACTAGGCTTGGAAGAGAAGGAGAGTGCACTCTTCATGGTCTCTCAGGACTTCCACACCAAGGAACCACTGAAGATCACCACCTCCTATGATGGTGTACTTCTCTGTGAGTTTCCTGATAGATTCCTGAGCCTTCCTCTTCCTGGACTTGTGGAATGCAACAATGATATCATCCACATAGAACAGAATGATTCTATCCTTGATGAGACAACATGGTTCATATTTCACTATGTGGAATCCCATTTCCACCAGTGTCTTTGTCAATTCCCTCTGCCACAGCAGGAGAGAAATCCTGAGTCCATATATGGCCTTGTTGAGTCTGAGGAGTATTCCTGGCTTCCTGTATCCTGGAGGCATCTGCATGTAGATATCTCTATCCATGGATGCATGCACAAAGGCATTGGTAACATCATATTGCTTGAGTTCCAGGTCAAAGTGTGCTGCAATGGCTATCATCATCCTGAAGGATCTCCCTGCCAGTGTTGCAGCATATATGTCCTGAGATGTAATGTTTCTCTGTTGATCTCCTCTTACAACCAGACGGGCCTTGCATTTATCCAGTCTGTGGTGCTTGTCAAATTTGTAGACATATACCCATATGCAGTCCAGGATTTGGTGACCAGCATCCTTCACTTCCTTGCTTGAGACTTCAGTCCAGGATTGTGTAGGGACATGAGATCTGAGATGTGCTCTTTCTGCTTCCTCAAACTGTTCCCTGAGCTCATGGTCCTTGAGTTGCCAATGGTGCTTGGGTGGAGGTGGTAGTTGGTTCCTGTGTGGTTTCACCCCCTGTGTCACCCCCGTCACCCCTAGTGTCACCCCCTGAGAAGCAACCTCTTCAAGTGTGCCTTGTCAATTGGCTTCCCTTTGTAAGATCCAACATTTCCTGCTTGTGTTCCAGCCATGAATGTAGCACACCATGGTGTTGTTTTGGCTGTGCCTATGTCCTGGAGTGATGGATTCAGTTCCTCAGGTCCTGAGAGGAGTTGTGCCAAGAGTATCATGGGTGGTGGTATATCAGGTGGAGTAGGATAAGGACCCATGATCTTTCTTCCTTGGTGGTATCCTGGTTGGTCTGGTTCTTCTTGGTTGTTCTGAGGAGCATCTTTAATGGTTTCATCCTCATAGAATGACTGGGTCTCTTGTTCACCTGATGGGGGAGAT